TGGGATGGGGACATTGGGGCTGGGATGGGGACATCGGGGCTGGGATGGGGACATGGAGCTGGGATGGGGACATTGGGGCTGGGATGGGGACACTGAGGAGCTGTCCCCGTGTCCCAGGCCACCGAGGAGCAGATCAAGCTGCTGCGGCTGCAGCGGCACCTGCAGGAGGAGCTGGACAAGCCGTACCTGGAGCTGTCCCTGCACGACACCGTGTCCACCCTCATCCTGGACGGGCACCACAAGCGCGCCGAGCAGCTCTGCCGCGACTTCAGGATCCCGGACAAGAGGTGGGGCTGGCTCCGGGGGGCCTGGGGGGTTCTGGGGGCTCCTGGGGGCTCCTGGGGGGCTCCTGGGGGGCTCCGGGACCTGCCCTGACCCCCCGACCCCAGGTACTGGTGGCTGAAGATCAACGCCCTGGCCACACGCGGGGACTGGGAGGAGGTGGAGAAGTTCTCCAAGAGCAAGAAGTCGCCCATCGGGTACCTGGTGAGAGCTGGGGCTGCTGAGGGGGGCAGCGGTCACCCCCTGGCTGTGCTCCTTCACCTTCCTCACAATGCCAGCTCCACCCTCCTCTTCCTCCAGCTCCACCCTCCTCTTCCTCCAGCTCCACCATCCTCTTCCTCCTTCTCCAGCTCCATCATCCTCTTTCTCCAGCTCCACCCTCCTCTTCCTCCTTCTCCAGCTCCACCATCCTCTTCCTCCTTCTCCAGCTCCATCATCCTCTTCCTCCTTCTCCAGCTCCATCATCCTCTTCCTCCAGCTCCACCATCCTCTTCCTCCAGCTCCACCATCCTCTTCCTCCAGCTCCACCCTCCTCTTCCTCCTTCTCCAGCTCCACCATGCTGCTCCTCCTTCTCCAGCTCCATCCTCCTCTTCCTCCTTCTCCAGTTCTCCCATCCTCTTCCTCCCAATTCCAGCTCCACCCTCCTCTTCCTCTTCCTCCAGCTCCACCATCCTCGTCCTCCAGCTCCACCCTCCTCTTCCTCCTTCTCCAGCCCCACCCTCCTCTTCCTCCCCTCTCCCTGCCCTTCCTCACCTCTCCCCGCCCTTCCTCACCTCTCCCCACTCTTCCTCGCGCCCCCAGCCCTTCGTGGAGGTGGCGGTGAAGCACCACAACCGCTACGAGGCCAGGAAATACGCGCCCCGCGTGCCCCCCGAGCAGCGCGTCAAGGCCTTCGTCCTCGTGGGGTGCGTCCTGGGGACACCGGGGGACACCGAGGGGACACTGAGGGGACACCAGGGGACACAGGGGGACACCCAGGGGACACCGGGGGACACTGAGGGGACACTGAGGGGACACTGAGGGGACACCGGGGGACAACAAGGGGACACCGGGGGACACCGGGGGACACCCAGGGGACACCGGGGGACACTGAGGGGACACTGAGGGGACACCAGGGGACACTGGGGGACAAGGGGACACCGAGGGGACACCGGGGGACACCAAGGGACACTGGGGGACACCGAGGGTACACTGAGGGGACACTGAGGGGACACTGGGGGACACCAAGGGGACACTGAGGGACACCAGGGGGACACCAGGGGACATTGAAGGACACCAGGGGACACCGGGGGACACGGAGGGGACACAGAGGGACACCGGGGGACACCCAGGGGACACCGGGGGACACTGGGGGACACCAGGACGTGGGAACGCGCAGCTGGAGTTCCCCGGAGCGGGGATTTGGGGCGGTGAGAGCCCCCACGGGAGGCGCTGGGAGCCTGGGGGTGTCCGTGGTGTCCCCAGGGTGTCCCCAGGGTGTCCCCAAATGTCTCGGTGGCGTCGGCAGGGACCTGGAGCAGGCGGCCGAGGCGGCCATCGAGCGCAGGAACGAGGCCGAGATGAGCCTGGTGCTGGCGCGGTGCTCGGCCGCAACCGACGGCGCCGTGGCCGAGAAACTCAACCGGGCACGGGCACAGCTCCTCAAAAAGTGACCCCAAATCTCTGGGGACACCCCCGGGACACACCTGGGGACACCTGTGGGACATCTCTGGGACATCTCTGGGACATCTCTGGGACATCCCTGGGGACACCCCTGGGGACACACCTGGGACATCTCCGGGACATCTCTGGGACATCTCTGGGACACCCCTGGGGACACCCCTGGGACATCCCCGGGACACCCCTGGGGACACCCCTGGGACACCCCTGGGGACACCTGGGGACACCCCTGGGACACCCCTGGGACATCCCTGGGACATCTCCGGGACATCTCTGGGACACCCCTGGGACACCCCCAGGACACCCCTGGGACATCTCCGGGACACCCCTGGGGACACCCCTGGGACATCCCTGGGACATCTCCGGGACATCCCTGGGACACCCCCGGGACACCCCTGGGGACACCCCTGGGACATCCCTGGGACATCTCCGGGACATCTCTGGGACACCCCTGGGACACCCCTGGGGACACCCCTGGGGACACCGCGGTCCCCTCCCTCCTCGTGCAATAAAGAGCAGAGCTCCGGGTCCGGTGTCACCAAGGAGGGGATTTGGGGACATGGGGTGGGGTGGGAGGGGACACTCAGGGACACCCCGGGGTCATGCTTGGAAGGGGAGGTCACTGGGGTCACCAAGGGTCACTTGGGAGGACATCGAGGGTCCCTGGGGGACATTGGGGGGGTCCATGGGGGGACATTGGGGGGGTCCCTGGGGGGACATTGGGGTGACACTGGGGGTCC